TGTGGAGCTGCTGTGTACATGTGGTTGTGAGCATCAGGCAACAAAGCTAAGTTAAGTCAAATGGATTAATTGAATGAGGGAACATTTCTGCCCAAAAATGAATGAGTGATGAACAGCAAGGAGGTTGTGTGCAGTCAGAGAGAAACACTGCTTCGTGCTATGAGTGGCCCGTGCACATGGGAGGATATGCAGAAGAGGAAGGGCAAGATCCTGTCTACTAAGACAAAGGGGAAAAGGAAGCCTGCTCCATTTCCAGAAGCCATGAATGGATACAAAGAAGAGTCTGTGTGGAGGGAGAAGGGAGCAACTCTTTGCCCTCTGTGAAGCCTCCAAATACTGTAACTTGAAGTGAAGTGAGACAGAAGGTATCTTAGGTATGAGGAAATGGGGAGCTTTGCTATGATGAATGGTTAGCCATTACTTTGGTATGAGCTGTTTCACACTGATACTTGTAACATTACGGGAGGGTTAGAATCAAGTGGACGAGGAGAGGGATGGCGGTGCCTGGCGTAACCACAGATTCCATCTTGCTCTGATACATTGCACTGAATGAACTGTTCCCTCATTTCCATAAGCCCAGCGAGGCCAGCTAATAAGTGATTGGTATTCTCCTCCCGGCCTGGCCTGGCTCTTCGATAAGCTCTGCGCGCACACAGCGAGAGCCCCCTCAGCATGATCTCATTTCCTGTCTCCCCACCACCACAAACAAACGCCGTCAAAGGCACAATTGTTCTGCTTCCCTGAGCATTGTTGGTGAAACTGCTGTTGTTTCTCAGTTGTTCACATGAAAACAAACCACCAAACCGCACACGCGCGTAAACACGTGCTACAGTCAGCTCTGGGTGCAGAGGGTGTCTGCGAGAGTTCACTCCATACATTATGGTATCACACACACACTCATGCTCATAAACACACAGTGGAGTAGACGTAGATATGCTCACAACATAACCCGCCTGTGGAGTAGCGATAACTGGGGCTAAACAAAGGCCCTTTAATGTCAGTGTAAGCCCTTGTCCTGAAGGGAGCTTTGTGTGTATGTGTAAGCGTGTGCACGTCCGTCTGTCTTTCTGTTTGCTCACAAACTATGTTTGTTTTTACTGTATGAGATTTGCTGTATTTGTGTGTTTGAAAAATTGAGATAAAATGAAACTGAAACAGAGGAGTGAGGGAAAGATTTGGTCCACCAGGGGTCCTAGTGCCTCTAATCGTCTAATTCCTTCAATGAGCAGAGGAAATAAGGGTGCAGCAGAGATACAGAGAGGAAAAAAAGAGTTTCCTCGTCAGCAAAACACATAGTTTATGCATGTATTCTGCTCACCAGATGGGTGCTGACAGTAGCGCCTGATTAAACAGAGCTGGTAGACATACTTTTTTTTTTGTGCAATTGTTTTGTTCGGTGCAGAATGGCCTATTGCTCTTTATTTCTAGTCACTGGAGGATCAGGCAGCAGTGGGGGGAAACGTACCTATTGATTATAATCATCAGACTTGTACTTTGTTTTACGTTTGTTTTTGTTTTCTCTTGTTAAAAGCCTGTTAAATTTCAACAAATTTCCCTGTCAGTAGCGACTGCTTCAAGGGCTCCAGCCAGAATGCCGTGGTGGTTCCCAGACATTAGTTGATTTTTGTTTTTTTTTAAGACCTCAGTCTGGGGAGCCAGTGGAGTTGATGTAACAGCAGAAATATAGGAGATGAAAACTAGCTTTTTTTAGTAGGTGCGGAGGAGGCTGGATAGTTTAGCAAGAGGAGGTGAAGAGCGGATAGTGTATTTGGCAGTGAGGGCACTGTATCCATCCTACTCCTCTGGCTGTACTGAGTGGAGTTCCTGGCAGGCTCAATGGCCCTGCACCCCTCTGATAACTCACCCGCTTGGCTTTCCATTGTCTCTACATTCCGGTTGCTTAAAATGGAGGTCACCTTTTCTAACAGCGTATCAACATCCTCGAGAAGAATGTCAAACCATCAGTGCAGAGCAGGAAGCCAGGGAGCACAGAGAGCTATCCTCTACGGTTAAAACACTGAGCTGTATTCCATCGCCTGGGTGATTTTGGCATCATTTTTATTTACACAGTTACACTTTAAATCGTGAGGTTAAATTAAGATGATTTCTCGTTGTTGCTAGATTGTGGCGAGATGCTCGAAACACAAACACAGTCATTTGATGTGTGATTGCGTTGAACTTTTCCTTTAATGACATTTGTGAGTGACACTTGTGGTAACTGCTTGGCCAGACACGACGTCTGCTCCATGCTGTGCCCCCGCCCACATGCATGTGTAAGTTTGTGCACATGCCTCTGTCATTATTAAAACACATCTGACACTGGTGCAGCAGCCTTCACCCTCAAGCTTTTACTCCATGGGGGGGCAGAGGCCGTAAAACCTGAGCCACACACATGTAACCACCATCTCTAATCCTTTATCCCTGAGCGACCTCTTAGATGAAGTCCTGTATATAGAGTGGGTAAACTATGAGAATGTAGTGGCAGCGTTGGCCCTCCTTGCTCATAACAGTTCCCCCAGTACGGGGAAGACAAGACATTCATGACATTTCCCCCCCTCTGCTCATGTGTCATCATCTCTAACCTTTTCTCTTTTACTTTCTCTCAGCTTTCCTCCATCAGGCCCCCGCTCACTGTCAAGTACAATTGTCATCAACATATTCATGTCCATAGAGAAACACATTCCACTGTCAGAGAGAGGGTGGTATTAGTGACAGAACGGCGGAGATAAAATGTTAAATGCTCCTTCTGTGTCATTTTGGGATTTTCCACAAAGCGACCGCTTCATATTTTGAATCAGATATACTTTTTCCCCTACTCTTGTCTGTTTTTAATTCTGTAATCCAGCTACTGTATGTGTTTAATATATTTATGGCAGGGAAATCTGATGGGATGTGGACTGATGGAAGATATTGTAGCCTGTCAGGCTGGTGGGAGCCGTCACGTGTCCAACCTCAATGGAAACCTACGTATAAATATAAAACCGTTTGAAACCTCATAGGTGTGCGTTTTGTGTGTGCCAAATGACAGCTAGCATTTTTCAAATATGGCACTACAGTTGCTGGCAGGGTAGGCTGTATAACAACATTCAGGATATTGCCACTGTAGCTTTTGTGTAATAGGTTAGAGGCCACATGTGTGTGTTTATGTGAGTTGTGTAGGAGCACACAGCAGCACCATAATGCCCACAGCTTGGGGTTCACCCTTGTCTGCGACGGTTGCTGTGATGCAGACAGACAGCTCTCTCCTGTGCTCCTTGAGGCCATGTGTATATATGTGTGTGTGCGTGTGTGCATATGAGTCAGAAGCAGGCCACCGTGCTTGGTTGGTGGCTGACCTCTGAGGACAGGTGCCCGTACATCCCTCAGTAGGCACACACTCTCATAAATAGCCCCTGCACCAGTTTCCTGGATTCAAGTTAACCAAACAGACAGTTGCCTTGTGACAGAGACACACATGCATAAAGCCTACGTAGCTGCATGCTATGATCATCCACAGGGACTCCAGCATCTCTGCAGCCACAGGGTGTGTCTTTCCTGCCTCAGACAGGCCACAGTCGCAGGCGAGCCCGGTGACGGGGACAAGGCAAAACAACAGCCTGGAGTTTTTGACTGTCCTCGCAAGTGTTTGTTTACGTAGTCGAGGGGAAATACACCGACATCGTGTTAAATTTGTAATCCCTCTGTAATTAAATGTGACTTCTCTGATGGCCTTTTGGATTTTGCAGAGGCATTGGTACGGTGGAGTGCGTAAGCGGATGTGACTGCATTTAAGAATTTAATGCAGCGGTGTCACCGCTCATTGTAACACTTCAAGAGACGAACAGTTGTGCTTCTCATTGTCAAGGAAAGCTTTCCACTGTGCCAGTGAGTATTTGAATATTTCAGGTTTGGAAATTTTTGCTCGTGTAAAAATATCCCATTTTAATAGTGTCAGAGAGTCTTACCCATCATGCTCTCCACCAGCCGCCGTGCGCACTGTTTAAACTGTGGGGGTTTGTTTACCTCTCCATGCGTCACAGTGCTCCCCCTCTCTCCAGCTCTTCTCCTTTCCTTCTGTTTTTATTTTGGCTGAAAATTGTGTTGGATTATTTCAACACATTTTCCCTTTATCCCGTTGGAAGCCAGTTTCAAGTGGAGAGGATTACGTCGGTAAATACGTTTCCTTTTGGTACAAAGCTCCAAAGCCACTCACCAGTGAAAGGAGGCCTTGATAAGAAAATTGTGTCAAGCACACTACCTCACCTCAGAGCTCACCTCCCCCTCGTCACCCTGCTTCATTTTCCCCTTGTTTTCTCCCCACCATTCCCACCCGGACTTACTCCCTTTAGTTAATTTTCTATTTTCTGTTCTGGGCCATTTTGACATCTAGTGGGGCTGATAAGGTAAGCGCAAGCCAAACCCAGTGTAGCCTGTGGTTGGAAATCAAGCCGGGCAGGAAAAAGATTCTTAAAATTAATCTATTAGAAAGCCAGTGCAAAAATTGCACGCTCTTCCTCCTTGGTAATATGTTTAAAATTCACTCCTTCTACCCCGTAGTGCTGCCACCATGGTGAGGAGAATAAAAAACAACCAATGCAGTTAATTTAGCAGTGCTGCAGGAGGAACTCTGGCTAATGGGGGGGCCACCTCTCTTTGTGCTGGAAAGTCAGACAGTGACGCACAGATGTAGCAGATTTGGTATGGTGTGTGCAGTCGTGGCAGCAGTGGCCTGATATCCAGCAAAGCTGATGTCATGCTGCCTGGAAGCTTATGGAAAGAGGAATCCGTCTGTCTTTTGGAGTGTGTGTGTTCACAATGCTGCCTATTGTCCTGCATTCAGGGTGATCTTGACTATTTGAATTCAGCCCTTGTTAATGATTTTAACTGCCTTTAAGTATTTTTCCATTGTGGTCTGATATTATTGCTCACATGTAAAGTAATATTTCACTCTCTATTCACCCGTAGACTCACCGGTTTATTTCTCTCTCTCTCTCTCTCTCTCTCTCTCTCTGTATCTGCAGTATAACTTTGTGGGGAGAATCCTTGGTCCTCGGGGACTCACAGCCAAACAGTTGGAAGCAGAGACGGGATGCAAAATCATGGTGCGAGGCAAGAGCTCCATGAGAGACAAGAAGAAGGTAAGCTCATCAGCATGGCAGAGTGCCCGGTGTGTTTAATGTATTTAATCTCTTGATAACAATATTACTTATTAGATTCCACTCACACAAGTAAGGAAAAAAAGTCCTACATTTATTTTACTGAAGCGGAAAACACTAACTCTCACCTCCTTTGTTCCTCCGCAAGGATTCATTCTCCGTCTTGAGATATTACACAATAATGTGAAACTTGCTGGGACTGCTGTCACGCAGAAACATCCCACTAGCCCCTGTAGAGACATGAGGCAGACACACGCTCGGTGGATGCCTGGTGGCTGCATTCTGACATCTGATAGGGCTGTTTGCTGTGCAGTGGAAAGTACAGAAGGCAGTAGTAAGGCAGACGGCTAAGGCCAGGGGCAGCCTCTATTTCTGGACCTACTGAGCTGAAGTTGGAGACTTAAAAGGTTAATGTTGTGTGTCTACAAATCCTGAGACCCAAGGGGCAAACTTAGCAAAAACCCTTTGCCTTATCTTACCTGCAAATTTTTGGAATTGTTCCAAAGCTGATAGCAGTATTGGAAATGCCTCCGATACTGCCTAAAATGCAGAATTGGATATCGGCAGCTATGCTAGTCTAAGCACACATGTGATTCCACGTAATTTATTTATAGAATTTAAAAAAAAAATCACACCCAGATAAAACAGCAGTTTTTCCGTAAATCAATTCCTCTTAGCTGCTATAAATCAGCAGCCTGCACAGGAAGTTGTGCTGTGCAGCTACGGGCAACTACTGATTTAGAGCAGTCTAAAAGAATTGACTTCCACTAAACAGTTTAACATTAGCTAATAATAGAATGTCAGCAATATAGACAACATTTTACACTGCAAAGCTCCACCAATAAAAAGGCTACATGTACTGTATCCAAGGCCTTAAGCAGGATTTATAGTTGTGCGGCAGACCCTAAGCCATTGTGAGCATTTATACTTGTGCGTAGTGTGTCCATGTCACTCTGCAGTTACACCTCCAAAACACTAGTTGGTGGCAGAGGTTTCTGTGTAGTGCTGTAAAGTTTAGTTGATTCAAAACATGTGCGAAACACACATTTAACACACATTAAACATGGCTTTATAGAGAGACAATTTCAAACCCATGCACACAAATCGGCTTCACTATAACTCTCAGCATTCACAGACAAACACTTGTCTTTATCTGGACACATTTTCCCCACAAATACAACAAGCTAATGTTTTTAGCACAAGCCTATGGCATTTTATATTTTATAAATTAGCCTAGCAGCTAGCGAACTTTTCCTCTTCTCATATAAAACCAGGGACAACAGCAACATTAAACAAATGTAACGTTACATAATTTGGCTTCATCACAACTCACAAGGTTCACTGACAAACAACTGTCTTATACTAAACATGTTTTCCAAACAAATACAAAATGCTAACGTTATTAGCACAGGCCTATGGCGTTTTACATTGTGTAAATTAGCCTAGCGACGAGCTGAGATTTCCTCTCCTCATACGAAGCCAGGATAAATCCCTGAAGGATAAATCACTCACAAGACTTAAAATGCTATTTTGTGGAGGCTTTATTGTCTTCACAATTTATTGTTTGTGTCTGTGAAATTAAAGTAAACAAAAGCTTTGTTTCCACTGAGGGAAATGGTTTCAGTTTACAAAAATAGACAGGAAGTCTGACGCACAGCCTACTGGGAAGGCAAAAATGGTATTGCAACATCTCTACAAAATTTGCAAAAAATATTTTGGCATTAAACAGCCGCATCACAACATTTGAAAACCAAGACTAACTGTTGCAAATCAGTGTTGATGAAAGTCTGTCAGACCATGTTTGATTGTCCTGCATTGCCCTCAGATCAGGTCAGCCTTGGAGTAGTATGTCATATGTCTAGTTGACTCAGGGTGTATTTCAGCTGCCTCCATATTGAATTTTGATGCACCATATGATTCAGCCAGAGCAGATAATTAAACAATGAATGCCTAACCCTTGAATGCTACAGCAACAGCAACTTCCATGCGTCCCCAAGGGATTCCAAAGTGTGTCAGATCAGATTTGATGACGTACTTTGAAGTTACTGCGAGGACAAATTGACAGTTTTGAAAATTGTGGTATGTCAAGCATCTGTGCATGTATTGCCCATGGGCTCCAGTTGTGTTATAATGGATGCTTTTGGCTGTTTTCCTATTTTGTTTTGTTTTTCTTCTTCACTGAGTGACACCTTTTTGTGTATTTGTTTTCAAGTCTCTCCGACTTTTCCTTTTTTTTCTGCACCTCCCAGTTGCTCTGATTTACCAGGCAGTGGTGCTATATGCATTTACATAAATCAGGAGAAGTGTATTTCATCCCTCTTCGTATGGGAATCACCTTCTCCACACACATATACACACGGTGCATAGTAACAGAAACAGGATTTATCCACACACACAGATGTACACAGATTTTCAGCTGAGTCATAATCTTAGAAGCTCCAGTTTGCTGCAGGGCCAACATTTTCTTCCCTCTTTCTTTTTTATGGCTCCTCAATTCGTATTTTAATTTCTATCTCTTCTTCTCGTTTCCCTCGCAGTGTGTTCATTATCACAGAACAAGATGAAGATGCTCTGCTATGGTTCTTTCTTTGGAATTAGATCCAGAAGTAGTTAAATAGGAGGGGGGTGCGCTCAAGCATGTACAAACACAGGCGTGCACACAGACACACATGTGCTAGAAGTTTCTCTTAGCTCATTACATGAAACTATGATTACCTTCATAATCTCTCACCATCTGAGAATTTAATGGCGTGTGCCAGTTTGTTTTGGAAGGAGTTGTTAAAGGGCCTGTGCAATTACTACACTAACAAAGGCCCAATATAGTTAGACATTTATAGAAAATTACAGCTGAGTAGGGTCACTTATTTACTTTGTGTTTCGATATGGGATAAAGTCAGGGAATAACCCAATATTTAAAATGTTTCGTAGATTGTCCTGGCTGGTTGTTAATTGAAAGTAAGAAGTAGATGGTATTTTTTAAGGTGGCAGACTGGGTTTTTAGCTCATATGTATATTAATACTATATATTATTATATTAATTATATTATTGCGTCAGCTTTATACACAAAGCTTTATTTTCTTATTTGTCCACCAATTAAAACGACGCCTTCCTTCCTCTCTACCTTCCTTTCCCTTACCTTACTCTACCCTGGTGTCTGCTTCAGATATTTACAGTATCAATAGGTTAAGCTGGGGGAAAAGATAATGAAAAAAACCCACCCAATGGCCTGCCAGCTTTTACATCCTCTGCTGTCTCCACTGTCAATAAATCACAAGAATCACTATAGCTCCTGGATGGCCAGGGTGTCATAACCGTGTCAGCCCCAGACAAAGCCTCAGCCGTAGCCTCCAGTCGCCTACGTAGTCGCTCCATCCTCAACCTCAGTATTTCCAGCTTGATGCCCTGTGGCAGCAGAGGAAGCCGCGGGAGCAGCTTAGCCAGTGTGTTTATTCAGGATCCATTAGCGGCAGCGTTTTTATGCTCTCAATAATTCAGCTGGTTGCTCCCTCCTGGGCCGCACTGCCTGGCGGGGAGTCGGCTCACTGGAGCTATGCAGTGGGAGAGAGGCGGGCTGAGACTGAAGGGGGGGGGGGGGGGGGGGNAGTCACTGTAATCACAGGGACTTTGGTATTTAAATGCCAACAAACTTATGTCTTCAGTCTGTGCTCAAATTGTTGTGAATGTGTCTACATTTAGGTAGTAGTCGATGCATATTTAGCTCAGAATATGAGAGAGAACCCAGCAGAAATATCTATGTATAATTTATGTATTGATATAGTAGTCATAATAATAGTATGAATGATAAAGTCACTACAACCACCTGTGCATCTGTGCGGATGGGACCTGATGTTCAGCTCAAATAACAGGAGACAGGAGAGACGAACGCAGGGTAATAAACCGTCCCAAGACTGCACTTCACGCTCTGATCAAACTAGACCAAACATAAATTTATTGTCATCATTTGTCTAAACATTCGGAAGGAAAAAGGACTCCTCCTGGAGCCTTATTCCAATCAAACTTTCATCTAATGTGACAGGTTGAGTCCCTCAGGTTTCTACTCTTACAGTCACGCTTAATGCAAAACAACAGCAGGAACAACAGCAATTAAATTACAGTTACTTTATATCGACCATTGCACAAGCAGAATAGGGGTTTCCCTCCCTTTTGCAAAAACAATTCCCTAATTCTATTTTGGCTACCATACAGTGTGAGATTACAGTTAGCACCTTAGACAGCTGTTTTACTTTGAGCCAAACTAAGTGTCCTTTCAGAGTTGCACTTTGAGATACACTCTCTATGAAATGAATTTCATTTGATTAGTTTTTTTTTCTGAATCTCCTGACACGTAATTGCTAAAATTGTGGTGTCAGCATGGTCACAGACAGAACAGAATAGTCCCGAGGCTTTGACTAACCCCTGCCAGCAAGCAGATAGTGCCACCCCAGAGCACCAGCATTTTATTGCTTAAGAACTAATGTGTGACATTGCCAATCAATATGTTCAACTTGCCTGTTGGCACTGCAGCATACCCACTTGTTTTGTTTAAAGTTTAAGCTGACTTGTCTGTTTTATCTTCATCTCCTGGGCTCTGATTACAGTGCAACTGAAAGCTACTTTCTTCTTTATTAAGAGTTTATAGGGTGCTGGTATGTTGATGAGAAAAGCGATGTCCAGGTGTTACTTGCGGATAAGTGGCTAGAAATGAAAGAAGGCACTGGTTAAGGACACATAGATGGCAGATTGCACAAGATGTGGTGTCCCCTACCGCACAGTTTACTTGAGCTACAACACTGTTTACTTTAGTTGGCATTTGCTGGCTTTTTACCACTATCACGTAAGGCTGTCAGATAAAAATATCAGTGGCCAAAATGTCCTGTGTGAAATATGCCAGATACATAAGTATAATCATTATAAGCATATTGTTTAGCCCAGTGTTTTGTGAACCATAAAATATGTTGCCAAGACAACTTATATATAAACT